AACATTTTTAGATCAGGAACAGGGCATACAATATAGGCCAGATGGGGAGTAGGAAGCAAAGAGGGGGAAATGTTTTATAAATAGGGAGGTGTTGTTAAGGGAATGGCTGTTGTGTGTACCATCGATCGAGTCAGAACCAACCCATAGCTGACACGCCAGTGGAATCGCACAGGAGGGATTGGTTATCCCTCTCGCCTGAAACAGCTGCTGGATTTGAACCGCACGTCTTCGAGATTACCTTGCAGCTTCTTATCACTAGGCCACCAGAGCTGTAATAAGACTGTGCTTAACTATTGTAAAAAAAGTTAATTCCATCAGCCATTTGTTGTTCATACTCCACTTTCATTAGGAAGAGTCCTGTCATGAACAATTTCACTGTTGGATAGACACTTTGAACACTGTGTGAAGAAACTGTCGACAGTCCCAGTTGTTGGAAGTGTTTTTTTTAGCACATGAGGTCTCTGTTCAATTGACAGACCCACTGTGTCCACTCTTCTGACTTATATCTTAGAGGGGTAATTACACATTTTCCTCACAAATGCTCTCTTCCTTGAAAGCCAAAAGCTTCTCCTTGTTGTTGTTGTTGTTCTGTGCCATCGAGTCATTTCCGAATCCTAGCGACCCTATGCACAACAGCCCTAAACCCTGCTCTATCCTGTGCCACCCTCACCGCCTCTGACACACCCATTCCAATTATCCCAGTCACTGAATCAATCCACCTCATAGAGGGTCTTCCCCTCCTGCGTTGTCCCTCAACCCTCCCAAGCATGATGTCCCTCTCCAAGGACCCGTCCCTCCTGGCAACATGTCCAAAGTATGTCAGACGAAGCCCCAGAATCCTTGCCTCCAAGGAGCAGCCTGGTTTAACCCTCTCCAGGGTGAATCTGTTTGTTTTCCTGGCAGTCCATGGTACATTCTGTATTCTTCTCCAGCACCACAGCTCAAAAGCATCCACTCTCCTTCTGTCCTCCCTAGTCATTGTCCAACTCTCTGATGTATAACAGGTGATTGCGAAGACCATGGCCTGTATCAGACGCACCTTAGTCTCCAGAGAGACACCATTGCTCTTCAGTACTTTGGAGAGGTCCCTAACAGCAGACTTTCCCATCGCGATACGCTTTTTGATTTTCTGGCTGCTGGTGCCAAGAGTGTTGACTGTGGAGCCGAGCAAACGGAAGCTGTGGACACCTTCTATTAGCAGTGAAACAGTGTTGATACTGAATGTTGGTAAAGAGAGCCTGTTAGCAGTGATACCGTGTTGATACTGAGTCTCAGTACAGAGAGCAGAAGGGACGGACAGCACATGACTCAGGAGGAGATATGAATGGGTATTCTTGTCACTACAAAAGTCCAGAGTGGAGGCTGCACAGTGGAGTGGACTTGGGGGGAGGTCAGTCCTGTTTTACAACAGTGACACTATGCACTATTTGTCCTTTTGTGACTGAGATACATCACTCAGCATCATGTCCTCCAGGGTCACCCATTTTGCATAATATTTCATGAGTTCCTTGTTTTTCAGTGCTGCATAGTACTCCATTGTGTGAATAGACCACCGCTTCTCTATCCATTCGTGTGTTGATCGGCACTTGGGTTGTTTCCGGCTCTTTGCTATTGCGAAAACAGCCACAATCAACATGAGTGTGCGTTTTTTTCTTTTCTTAATAATAAAACAATGTAATTATTTTAAAATTCACTCATTACATACTGCTTTGCAAAAAAATTGCTTTATTACGCTCTTAGTAAATATGTGAAATATATTAAACATCAATTTCCTATTACCCTCTTACATTTCTCAATTTACTTCCTTCCCATATTTTATGTATTTTTAATATGTCTTGTAATTTTTTTTTTTTCAGTTTACACTGGTTTTCCTTTTCCCTTATTTTTAACCGTTGACTTATTTTATTACGACTTTATTTTCTGAGATTTTTTGTAAGCTAGTTTTTTGTTTGGTAACGAAGGTGTGTGTGTGTGTGTGTGTGTGTTTATTTTTATATTTTTTTTTGGTCATGGTGATGGTGGTTATGTGGTATCGAGTCGCCTGTGACTCATAGCATTTCTATGTACAACAGTCCTAAACCCTGCTCTGTCCTGTGCCAATCTTACTGTCTCTGACACACCTACCCCCATGACCCCAGTCAATCCATCTCATCGAGGGTCTTTCCTCTTTTACGCTGTCCCCCCACTCTCCCAAACATGTCCCTCTCCAAGGACTGGTCCCTCCCTAAATATCTCAGATGAAGCTTCAGAATCCTTGCCTCAAAGAGGAGCCTGGTCTCACTTTCGCTAGGACCAACCTGTTTATTCACCTCGTAGTCTATGGTATATTTTTTACCACAGCTGCAGCACCACAGCTCAATCCATGGCCTCAATTCTCCTTCTATCATCCCTTGACATTGTCCTGCTTTCTGACACATAGCCCGTAATTGCAAACAAATGGCCTAGATCAGACGCACCATAGTCTCCAGGCTGACATTGTTGCTCTTCAGGACTTTGATTTTGTCTCCGACAGCAGACTTTTCCAATGCAATTCATTTTTTTATTAATTCCTCGGGTGCTGGGACCAAGAGTGTTGATTATGGAGTCAAGCAAACTGAAGCTGTTTACAGTGTCAAACTCTTCGCCATCTAGCATGATGCTGGCAGTGGGCCCAGTGGTGAGAATCTTTGTTTTTCCAATTTCAGCCACTTTTATGCAGTTGCGTGGGGCAGCCTTATTTGTGACTAGTTTTTAGATTTTTCTCTCACGCATGCAGGGGCTGCTGCTTTTTCTGCATTGATGTCTTCATCTCCTTCATATTGTGTAGAGCCATTTGGAGATTTGGAGAAGAATGAGTCTTTGGTAGGAAACCTTGTACTTCCATGCCCAGCGTCCAGTCCAGCCAAGATCACACACTGGGCTTGTGCTCTTTGTATAACCTTCATCTGTTCCTTTAAGAAACATCACATGTTCAGTCAGAACAGTTGGGATTGTTTTTACTTGTCTTTTCCACAGTCTTGATGAAAACTTGTGCAAAACAAAACTGGTGGAATTCAGGATCCTGTTTCTCTGCCGGGTCAGCCCTGGTTTCCACTCCCGCACGGAGGATAAGTCAATCACTGGGTCTTTCATTCTGTTGCTAGGAGGTGTAAGTCCCTGCAATTGAGTGAATAAAAAGAGAGCTCCTGGAGGTTCAATCCTGTTTTACTTTAATTACAAATATTCTCTTAAAGAGATTTTTTACCTGATCTGGAAACTCAAAACCCCACCAATTTATCGTCATAAAATTGGGACAGAGTGGCTGTGTTTCCAAGACTATAAATTACACAAGAGGACATTCCTTTCGTTGTGCTTTCCGAGTTGCTGACCAATTCCGACGTACTCCACCTTCCCAAGGCTACGAGTGCTACTCCCTGTAGCGTAAGCCACACCAATGAAAGCAAAACCCTCCCTGCTCCTTGCTTTACTCCACATTATTTGCAGGGGAGCTCTGGTGGCCTGGTGGCAAGGAGCTGCAACTACAATCCCAGAGGCGCACGGTTCGAAGCCACCAGATGCTCTGCCGGGGAAGGAGGGACAATCTCCTGTAACAGTCAGATCTGATTTGACGGAACACTCACACAAAAATAATAAAATACAAAACAAAAACAACCCCACATTATTTGCTCTTCCTCATCTGTTTCAGGTCTCCACGGTGATACCAGGAGAATTTGTCCAGTGCAAGCACCTGAGCTTCAGGACGGATCACCATGCCCTCCCGTAAACCCCAGGGGAGAATTTCAGCCCCTGCAAAGGACCAGATATCGTTCATCTGCTTCCCTGTTATCCTGTGTGCTCCCACTCGAATGCTCTTCTGAAGTCATTCCTTGATTTTAACAAGGACATTTCCCTTCGACGTGCAGAACGAGGAGCAAAGAAATGGTGAGTTCTGGAGAGCAAGACCTTTCAAACTTGAGTTGGTGCCACTGGAGAGAAATTCTTGGGAACCCACTTCCTTGTGGAGGACGGTCGTTCCCCAGAGAGGTGAGGAGGTGGAAGAGGAGGCTCCCAGAATGGCCCTAAGAGGCATCCTAACTCCCTGCTCCCTTAGTACCCGGCCCGTTCCGTATCCATTCTCTCCTACGAGGTGGATGCCTGCGGTCACTCGCCTTAGGTGTCCACAGATCTGACACCACAGCCCGTTCTGCACAACCTGGGTCTTGGTTCTCCAGGCCTAATGACAGAACCTCCTGGTCAGCACCTGAAGATGACCCGGCAGAATAGGGCCTGTGATTTTCATATCCTCTGTTGCTTGCTGGGCCTTCTTTACCCCCTAATGAGCTCTCTGTCTTGTGTTTTATTGTCACGCTTTGAGGAGTGTGGAGAGAAGGAATTCCGATTTTACTTCCTTCCCCTTCTACGTATGCCTGTTGTTGTTGTTGTTACGAGATGCCGTGGATTTGAGGGGCAACCCTGTGAACAATATATCTGAACCCATTTTATCAAGCACTCTGGTGAGTTGCTTGATGTCTTTTTGTAGGAATTGGTGCCCAAAAGCAGTGCTTTGGAGCTCTGATGATTAGGAGAATAAGGAGTTAGGTACACAAATAAGTCAAAGGCTACCTAACCCTCTGATTGTTCACGTTTCTTCATGTCAGGAAAGTCCAGTGTGCGCAGGGATCTGAAGGGGCTGATGGGAAGGAGGGAGAAACCTCTGTCTCGAATCTTTGTAGAACCTGCTGTTGTTCAGGGCCACATTCAGTTTTCTTCCCAGTAGTGTCGGGGACTAGGAGAGAGCAGATATGGAATCTGAGTCCTCCAAACTGAAAAGCAAACACCTGCATACTCTTGTTGGTTGTGAGAGCAACTTCCTGCGTTGCCTCTGGACTGTTGTGTATAGCTTTTACGTACGTTATTCCCAGAAGTCTCATTTGAAGCTGGCCCGAGTTTAATCTGCTCTTGACGATGTAGGTCAACTGTATTGACAAATAATCTTTAGTCTGTCCTTGTGCGTTTGTGCAGAATCACAGCTGTGATGTCAGACTCACAACAGACCCTCCAGCTGGCTTTCAGAGACAGAAAATCACAGAGGAGGAGACGAGTCATCTTTCTCCTGTGAATCAAGTGCAGGATTGAGAACACCTCCCTTTGTGTCAGCGTCATAACTCCCTTAGCACTCCACCAGAGTTCGCTAAGTTTTATGTTATTATTCTTCGTGCACGCCTCAGAGCAACCCTACAAACACGGAGCACCCTGTTCAATCCTGCGCCATCCTCACACTTCCTGACACACACGGGCCCATGGTAGCAGTCAGTGTGCAGTCCACCTGGTTGAGAGTCTTCCTCTCCTTCGCCGACCCTCCACCCTGCCCAGCATCCAGGCCTTCTCCCAGGACCAGCACCTCCTCGCAACATGCACCAAGCAGGAGAGGGGAACCTCATCAGTCTTGCCTCCAAAGAGCACTCTGTCTCTCAGACACTTCTGTTTCTTTTCCTGGCCATCCGTGTGATGTTCAGTGCACTTCTAGTCACATGATGATCATGAATACGTTGTATACTGTATGGAACTGACCCATAGCTGACCCTCCAGCAGGTGTGTGTGTGTGTGTGTGTGTGTGTGTGTGTGTGTGTACTATCAGATGTGACTGGTACAGGAGGAGATTGTCCCTCCTTCCCCGGCAGAGCATCTGGTGGATTCGAACCATGTG